TGCTGCCTCCACGCGGGGCGATAAGAAAAGTGCAGCCCTTCTGCACTCCTGATAAACACGTCCCCGTGGTGAAAGGCTATGCTACCCCCCGCACCCCGAAGAACTGCTGATAATGAGAAATTCAGTATAAATACAACCCCAGCAGCCAGCACCGGCAGATGCGCCGGGCTCGGCTACCAAAGAGGATGCAAGCCCCCACCCCCCTCCTCTCCACGAGTCTGCTGAAGACTCCAGGCCTACCATGAGTCTGCAAAAACTCTTCTTAACCTTCCTCACTCTGTGAACTTACCTATCCTTGAGTCTACAAGGACTCTCCTGCACACCACCTTAGTCCGACAAGGACTCTCCACTTACCTCAGTCTGCAAAAGACTTTCCTGTTAGTCTCACCAAGAGCTAACTACCTCCTGCCTTAAACATCCCTACCTAAACCTGCACCTTAAGGCCTTCGTCAGTCTGCGAAGAATTCTCTCTCTCAAGACCTGCACGTCCCTGAAGACCTGCACGTGAGACACCTACTTCTGCTACAGGTATACCTCGCCTTAACCCCAATAATCCTTACCCCATTCAACTTCCTCTGACTCCGCGGTAACAAGCCAACACATTTTAGATCGCATACCTGATTAGCTCCCACTTAAATATTAGCCACTGTGAAAGTTGCATTGCTAAATTTTTTATTTTTACTAGCCGCTGTAAAGTTGCTCAATATAGTTTACTTCATTCCAGGTCCGCCTATGCCTGACCCAGTTAATTACGTATTTTTTATCCTCCCCAAGTGTTTAGCCAGGGCAAATTAATAATTACGAATTGTATGTCTTTTGGGAATAGCCGGTTCTCTCCAGGGAATAATCCCCTCAATAAATACTACGTCAAACTTACTTGTTTTTATTCCGTTATTTTTAGTTAACGATTTCCTCTTTCCTAAACGCTGGTGTAGAACCATTAATCAGATCTATAGTAGAAAAGGAGATGCCCAGAGTAAACTACGATGTAGGGAACATCGTGTCCTAGCACGGACAGTAGTCAGTTCCATGTCTGAGGACGAACCTAAGCTAGTTTATCAACGACCAAGCTCCACGGCCAATTTCCCCGTTTGTTCCACTGGAAATGACCACGTCCTTATATCACTTGCTCAGTGCCTAGTGGTCAGGATACCCGACAGCAGAGTACGAGGAACAGATCAAATTGCATGCCCAGGAGAAAGAGACTATTCTCCGTGACACCCCTGCTAGGCAAACCCCTAAAACCATGAGTAATGTCAATTTGCAGTCTGGACGATTAATAAGAGTAGCACACCCAGAGGGCAGTGTAGTCCCTAAGTTTTGCTCTATCAAGCTTGCATGGGGTAAAGTAGTTCTGGTTCGACTCCCAGCCCAGCCAGGCAACCAACCCTATGCAACCCGCCCGTCTGCAGATTTTGTCCCGTCACGCCAGCCTACTCGTCCATCAAAATTCTCCTCTGTCAGACCACACACCCCCATCTCCACACCAAACTAATAATCATTTTATTTAATCCATCAGGGATCGCTGGCATCCCCGTATATTGGCGACCGTGTTAGTGAGAAGGATCGAGCTCCCTGGATGGGCAGCTACATCCATCCGCCTCACTCTGGGGTTTGACTCCCCTCCAGCCCAAAGTAAACCTGCCCCCAAACTACCTGATGTTGTATCTAACCCCCTTATGACTCACTGGCTCAGTAAAATGGGTATTAATCACAGTGGTAGGCCGAGCTGGGCATGGTAGGATAGTCAACATCACCGCACTGCCATCTAAGGTAGTCACACTCAGTAACAACACGCGTCAATATTTGGCGCCCAACATGGGGCGTTTACTCCTGGTAGCTTTGATTTGGGAGTAAGGACCACGCCAGACACCCCTTCCCCCTTTGTTGATTCCTTGACGAGGAGAATTTTTCATGACTTCAGATACTAAACACCCCGTGGCACCCACATTTCATCACTATGTCCGACTCAGAAACGAGTCATTATGGACAGCTAGGTGAGGACAGGGGTGAGCAATTCCCTCTGCCCCGTAACAGGTTGCCCTGGGACCGGACGTTATATAATCCAGTGCACATACTGTCACTGGACCTACCATTAACGTTGTATCAGGTGAGATGAGACACCCCGCTATACAGATGATCTCAAGTACAAATGTACTGAGTGTCGCCAGGATGAGCCACAGCCATATCAGTGGCCTGAATGTGAAGGGCATGGTCGATACACCATCCGCTGCATTCTTTGCCAGAGAGGATTCCACCACTTCTGTATAGGGTGGCTGGACGAGCACATAAATACATCTGGATTAGTATACCAGTGTGAAGTGTGTCATAGTGTGCACAGCTATAAGACACGTAACCCCACACTACAACGCAGCTGTAGTATTTAGGGACTACCAAGCCAGATGAATTTGCCAGAATTCAACGGGAATAATTACGCATTCCCCGCGAAATTCCTCGCTGAATGCGATAAAGAGTACAGAGAACACCTTGTCTGGCAGAGACAATGGGTGAACCGTGCACACTCCCTGTTGACAGGCTCTGACAAGTGCTGGTGGGAACGCTACGGCGAATTTGTTGAAAGTGGGCCCCAATTTAAGGCCCAACTTAAGTTTCACTTCTCAAGAGATGAGCTCCTGAGTGAGAAAATCACCAATTTACCCGATGAGGAGGCCGAGTTATTCATAAGGTGAAAGGAGCGCCTTCACAAAAGAGTATATCCAGAGCAGAGCGAGGCTCTACGGGTCAGAGCTATTGCCTGCACCCTTCTCCCAGGTTTAAATAACCTAATGATCACTGCTCGGCCACAAACGGTCGAGAGTCTAATCGAGAAGGCCCAGGAATTAGACATAAAGGAACACCCCAAGAGGAAAGAGAGCTGGCGGCATGTGCCCAGGTTTACGGTCTGGCCCTCTTCCCCCGGCAGTCTGTAGGGGGCGGCATGAACTTGCAGCCCCCCTCCACCACCCTGCCACGCTGCTGGCACTGCCCAGGACCACACTTCAACCGGGACTGTCCCACGCACCCACCCCAGGTGGCACACTACTCTCCTCCCCACCCTTCAAATGCTCAGCTGCACAGCACAGGAACCTGTAGCCCCTTTTGTAGCCAAGGCAGCATAGAGGTAGCCCGTAATCCGAGAAAAGTGAAACAACTAACCCTCCACCCCATTTACGTGCAAGCGACATCAAACCCAAGACTGTTAGTACCACGGCCTGAGCATTACCACAGGGAATGCAAGGCCCAGCAAGCCCCGGAAAGAAGAACCCCTCCACCCCTCCAGGCACCTGAAGGCCGCGCCACACTTCCACCTACCCTCATCCCTCCCCTCCTCTTACCGGCACTGCCCAGGACAGCACTCCTCTGGAGCTTGCTCCTCTGGCTGGAGAGAGGAAGAGGGAAGGCAGACACTCGGGCGCCGAGTGCATTACCGCGCCCCCGTGCCCCTCACACACCAGCCCAGCCTAAAGGAGCCACGGCCTGTTTTCAGGTGTCACACATCCCCCTTCCCTGCGCTGACAAACCACACTTACGCATCCTGTTAAACAATACCCCGTTCACAATGGTATTAAACACAGCCGTGGACCACAATTCATTCAGGGAACATTACTCATGCGGCGCCAAAGAGCCAATGTGACTCCTATATCATATATAACTGTCCAAATGGCCCATAACAAGTTTCCTCCTTGAACTATCCAGGGAAATTACCATCATCCTAAGATTACGCGGTCGGCATGTTAAGGTCCCCTTTTTAGTAGCCTCACATCTGGAGTATCCCATGATACTGTGATGGCCCTGGCTGCGGGAGAAACACCGTGTAATAGATTGTGGGAAACTGCATACCACCCTAGGTGGTCATAAGGGCATTGTAATCAACTAGGATGGTAACCCAATTTCGACTACACCTCCCCGGCCTCAGTCCGGCTGTTATGCATCCAGACCAACCCCGCACCAGTTCGCAATATAAAGAGGGTTCTAAAACTGTGAGACCCTGGTACATGTCTAGTAGTACCCCAATTGAACCTCGCCGGACGCCACCTTGCATCCCAGCCGAGACATCATGGCACAAGCGTTAGACAGAGGTCGCGAACCTCCCCTACCCGCCTGCTTGTCCCACTGGCTGCAGAGTGTCGGCCCACTCATGAGAACTCGTTAGCACGCGTTGCGCGAGCCTCGTCGGCCTCCTCCCCCAAAGGACTGCCCACCCTGGGAACCAAACTGGACGCAGCGACATACCTCCTCCCTCCAGGCTCGGTCCCGCCTACACCTACCCCCAAGTCGGTGGAGTGTAATCAGGATAAGGAATCCGGGACGTACGGCACGTTACCCTACCCTTCCTCACCAATCCCAGACAAGCATAGAGAAAGCGGACAGAAGGAGAGTGAAAACCTTGATCCAACAACGCCAACATCTGGGGAGCCCACGGTAAACTTGGCAACCATCCCCACCTGCTCAGAACAAAGAGAGGTGTGCGTGTGCGCATGTGTGCAAATGTGCATGTGTACATGTGTGTGTGTGTGTGTGTGTGTGAGAGGGAATCCCTGGTCGGGTTTTTATTCTTCTCCGGCCAACCGATACAACCATGGTGGTATGTTTCCCCACACAGTATGCAGCGCACTATGTGGGTTGTTTCCCCACACAGTATGTAGCACACTGTGTGGGTACCATGCCTTAGGCAGGTGATCCAATTACAGAATGACGTCTTTCAAGTTTGACACTGGTCGCAACTATATTTGAGACCATCAGTTTAGCATGATTTGTCTGCCCAGCTTAGGCAGGTACGGTGGAACCATTGTTGACAATGGGCACACTCAATTCTGTATGTCCCATGACGGGGCAGTTTGACTTTGAACAGCAGGTGTGTTTGGTTGCAGCTGTAACAGTGCGAGTTGACTTGTGCTCGTTCATGTTGGTGTCCGACGTTGTTGCGGTCTGGTTAAGTACCACAAGGTGTTTTATGGATGTCCAGAAGTCTGTGCTGTAGTTGGTAGGCATCTGGCTAGGTTCGGCTAGCTCAGTCGGTAGAGCATGAGACTCTTAATATCAGGGTCATGGGCTCATGCCTCATGTTTGGTGCAAGAAAAAAGTTGGCTTGGCTCTTGAAACATGTTGCCTTGTGGCTAGTGAGAGGACGTCACCACGCAGAGGCATTTTTGGTGAGTGCTAGGTCAAGCGAACCCGGTGGCAGGGTTTTGTTTCTATAGACTTTATGAGGTTCTGATGCGCCTAAAGTGTAAAGTACCGGCCTGGTAGCTTTGCGGCGGGGCACAAAGTCGGGTTAGTGATAACTATTTTATGCTTTGATAGGTTTTCCTTGGGTGACTCGTAACCTGTGGAGGCTGCTGGACCTGTGTTGATTAGAGTGCAGGAATTCGTAGGTGGTGGTGGTCACAGGGGTAGGTTCCATTGGTGCAAATCTCCGGAAGCGTGGGTTGGCTATCCCCAAGAACTTGTCCTGTCCACTTAAGTAGGCGTAAAACACCTCCTTAAGGCGAGTGGGTGCTTCAAAGAGGATCTTGGGAATCTCTGGTGTGGTCGGTCTCTGTAGGTGACGCAATGCTTGGGCCCTTTCCCTTGGTGAGAGGTGCATGAGTGCGGTGAGGAAGGGATTCCTACTGATGCCCAAAGGCAGTGAGTACCTGTTTAACTCTCTCTCAAATACCACTTCGATGGGAGTAGGGCATGAGGACAGAATCACACTATCACATCCGTGGAAGGGGGAGCACGTAATGTTTTGTCCTATAAGGGTGTACAACCACATACCATGTCTGCCAACCGAGTGCAGTACCCCTATCCCAGTACTCGGTGCTGAAACACGGTGAGCATTGGAAGTCAGGTCTTACCAGCAGAAAGTCCTAGTACATGGATACATGGGTGATTGTCTCATGAGGAGCAGTCCTCCCAACTTAGGGAATACTCCCTCCGGCACAAAAAGCGTGGTGGAGAGAATGAGCACTGAGCTGACAATCTGACATCACGAGACTGAGTACCTAGTGTTGGGGCTCTACCGTTCCGTATACAGTGTTGCACAGAATGGGTGGCCATCCAGAATGCTTGTGGGTACTCCACTGGTGTATGGCGGTTATGAGTAAAATTCCCAGTCACCTGCTATCCCTTGGACCGGCGTGAAGTCAACTAGGAAAGGAATTACTAGTACGAAAAACCTACCCTTGAGTTGGTTAAATATCTATTTATTCGTACAACCAAAATAAACCGGGTGGTATCACACTAGCTCCTAACGTCAGCATGACCTTACGAAAGCTTAACCTACACTGAGTCAGGTGAAGGCGACATGGTCCTAGGCTAACAATGGGTAGGGTAGTTGAGCGTTGTGATACTAACTTGAACTGGTACTACTTTATTTGTGTTTGCCCTGAAGGGACCAGCAGTGTGTAGTGTGTAGACGACATTGTTGGTGGGGGCAAGTAATCTTCGGCACAGGGAGCGAAGAAGACAAGGCTGGTATTGGTAAGAAGTTTTCGGCACAAATCCAGTGAAGACACTGTAACAGGAGATGATCTCTGGCAACAAGTTGTGGTGGAGAGCAGGGAGCTGATGGTTCATTTGGCGCGAGCCTGCAGTGAAGGATCAGTACATACACCTCCATATTGGGTGTACGAATGGTGCTATAGATCCAGTGTCTGTCAGTCACGGGAAAAGGCGGCTGAATAACTGTGCAGATGGTACCTTTTGTGCTGCATACTTCTCAGCATACAGGACACATGCTCGAAGGCTGCTTTCGTTTTCTAGACCTTAACAAAATATCATATCTGCCATTTCCTGTGTGGAATAATAGGCTTCCCTTATGCGGTAAGTGCAGAGGTAAAACAACAATGGTGTTACAAGAATAACACACATTGATTTGATTAAACGTAATAAGGACATTCACTGCACTTGCCCTGAACTGTGAATTACTGTAATGGTTGCTGTAGTCTTCATACGCATGTGCCTCATGCGGGCAACAACTTAATACTGTGGTATTGATTGCAGCATTGCAAGTGAACAAAGAGCTCATGTTACGGAGATATGCAGTTTCACAGCAGTGATGGTGAACAAATGCTCATAGCTGTTACGGTATGTGTTTTAGGACCCATGTTTATTGGTTATTTTTTACTTGTTGTGGCGCATACTACCTCCACACAAAATATGAAATAATTTTTTTTAACACCTGGTATATTACAAGAGATTCAAAGAAGGCATAGTACATTATGCATTGTATACAGTTATGCTGGCTACAGATGAAAGGAGACAGTACCTTCCTGGCGCTGCGGCTGGCAGTCTCTAGGTGGAATGGCTGGGGGCTAGTGGTGATGTTATCATCATACTTGTTGCGCAGCTCCCGCATGAGCGCACGGTGGGACTGCTTGTAGTTGGGAATTCTGTGCCTCCTGCGTGGCACCTCTGCATGCTCTGAAAGCATGTCAGAGGACAAAGCACGTGCCTTGGCCAGCTTCTCCCGAGCTGCCATCGACGGGGGCAGGGATGATGCCTTTAGTAACTCCTCTGCACGGATCCTCCTCTTCAAGTCCCTGAGGACACATGTACAGTACCCTCATCTAGCTCCTCCTCATCTCAAAACACATTGATGTATCTGGTTCCTAGCTAAATGACAGTGTTTGAAATCATCTTTAGAAAAAATATCCCTGTCATAGATGAATGTATTTTAATGTACACACCTGCATGTCTACAGTAATTTTGGCAGCTGATTACTTTTCCTAAAAATGTGTTGTGTTTGAACTGGTGCCCACTGAATTTTATTCTCTTTTATGTTTTATACTTTCATGTAATTAAATAGCTTAATATAACACTATGTTTTAACACAATAACTATATCCAAAAAACTGGGGTCCTTTTATGTTTGCCAAATAAAAAATTTGAAGTCTGTACTTTTCCTTGAGTAGTGGTGTTGGCTCTATTTTTTTATTTTTTCAAAAATGCCAAGTAAGCAACAGAGCTTTTAATTTCAACTTCACCAAGTATAAAGTTTACATGAGAATGATCACGCACGTAATTCAGTTTTCATCTCTGGCAATGACAAATATGTTAAACTTTTACTGAAGCATCATGACAGAAATCTTGATACACTACAAATTTCAATAATCTGTGGTAATATTAATTTCTCTTTAACACCAAATCACAGATAGAGACAGTCTCTCAGCTTTAAGGTTGTCCTATACTTGGGTGAGTATGGAATTGATGTGTAACAATTTCACAGGGTTACTTAGTGAATATCAATTATTAGGTCTCTGGCAATTTCATTTTTTAAAAAGTGACAGAAGGTTAAGCTACAGAAATGGCCACAAGAAACAACTAGAAACAATTATAAATACAAATAAATTATAACATGTATGATTTAAGTGTGTCCACTAACTTAGTTTGAAGACTGCAGTTAACGAAATTGGTGCAATAGGAAGAAACCTAAATGTCTTGTGCAAATTTGCCTTGCACATGCAAGACAATTAAGCTTCTGAGTAATCTGAAGTGACAACTAAACAGTGATAGCAAAATTATGATATTATAATGATTTCAGCATTTAAAGTTATTTGTTTATATTTAAGTTTATTTTCAGTTGAATGTTTATTTATTTTAAATGCTATGTTAAAACCCCTACCCACAGGTATAGCTAGAATTATAATTCAAAGCATCACTACTAACTATAATTAATTTATTTCGGGTTTGTTTAAATGTAATATATTTTTGACAGTTCTATTTCTTTAATTTATTTTGCTATGTGAACTGAGCTCAACTATCTCTGGAAGTTTTAATGATATTGGTTATCGTTTTCTTTTGCACTTTACCTGGTTTAACCAAACAGTTTCACTATGGAGAAATGGATTAAATTACAGAACTGATAAAAGTGATGTTTCAGGAAAATATGTTTATCTAAGAATTCCAAATTTTTAATTAGCATCCTCATGCGAACCCTTTTGATTAAGGACTCTCGATAGACACCATTGAAAACAGTATGTCATAACTTTTGTGCTGCAAGATTTCTTTTCAATTTTGCATATACCGGTACCGCCCACTGTAATGCTAGGAATGGTGTTAGAGAGGCACCTAGTGTAATTAAATATGTGGGGCATGATAAGAAGAGGCCCAAAACGCATTGCCGTAGTTTTGAAGTGTGTTAAACTGCAAGAGCTGCCTTTTTCATAAATAATGTAAGGGTATGGCTTACACTGAGTATGGTTCAGCAATTTCGAAAGAACAGTTACGTATATGCGTTACCATATGTCTGAATTTTGGATATAAAAATTTTAATTAAAATCTTTAAGAGAGTGCATTCGTAATTTTAAATTATTTTTGCTGATTTAAATGAAGGGTGTAAAATTTGTGCAAAATTTACCAGAAGCAACAAACAGAATCTCTAGCTAAACAGCTTTGTATCATCATGAATATGGAATCAAGCTTAATTCTCGCATAATTAATGAGCCAGTGCAACTTTTATTTGCTCATGAAAATAAATTTTGTTTGCTGAATTTAGCAGTTAGATCTATTCCGAAAGAATTTCTATTTGAATGACAGCAATTTTTTTTAATAGATTGGATTAATATTTCTGGATATTTCTGTACCGGTACTTAATAATTTTCACTTTATCTTTGAATTCACCATTTCTGACACATATTTTTATTTTGGACAGTAAAACAACAATTACTTACACTGCACTTGAATGGCTTTGTTTGTGTAGTATTGACAGCAGTAGTAGTATTTTATTTCTCATGGGTTTATTATGTTTGTGTGTTTCATTTTCATACAAATGGTATGAAAATTTTCTGCCTTGTCTGTGTTTTCATGCAAAAGTGTCATGTGTATTCACATAATTTCAAAGTATTTAATGGTCAATGCTAAGGATTCAAAAAACTTCACATTATGTACTTACCTGACTTGTTTATTAAGAATCAGTGACTCTTACTTTGCTTTTGTAAGAAATTAACATTTCCCCATGGTCAGAATATCTGTAAGGGCAGCCAATTCATGTGGTCTCATTATTGCGTAGCCAGACGCCACAAGCAAAGAGAAAACAAGCAACGTAGTAGAAATTTTGCTATGCATCACTCGCACGTCTGACAAATTTCT